AAGAGATTTTCCATTTTTAAAAGGTTATAAAAGGAAAAGGATACTACGTATTAGTAGATGTTAAACTCCACTAAGATTTTAAAAATTATGAACCGACTCACGTAACAATAGAGCTCCAAAATATATACAACAAAATTGACAGAACTAAAGGGAAAAATAAACAGTTCTACAGAAATAGTCGGAGACTTCAATACCCCCATTTTTTAATAATGGATCGACAAATAAGTAGAGACCCTGAACTATACTACAAACCAATTAGTCCTGGCAGACAGACAGAGAGCATTCCAGCCAACAACAGAATACACAACCTTCTGAAGTGCACATGGACCAGAAATAGACCACATTTGGCCATAAAACAAGTCTTAATGAATTTTAAAAGGTTGAACTGATACAAAGTATATTTTCTGAGCACAATGTAATGAAACTACAAATCAGTAACATAAAGAAAATTAGAAATTCACTAATATGTGGAAGTTAAACAATACACTCTTAAGGAATCAATGGGCCAAAGAAGAAATCACAAGAAAACTAAGATGAAAGAAAATAAAATACAACAAACCAAAGCTTCTGGGATACAACAAAACCAGAGCCAAGAGTGAAATTTATAGTCGTAAACACCAGTGTTAAAAAAAATCTTAAATCAACAGCCTGACTGAACACCTTAAGAAATCAGAAATAGAAGAGCAACCTAAATCCAAAACGAGGCAAGGAAAGAAATAATAAAAACTACAGCAGAGATTTTTTTTAATAGAGAATACAATAATAGGGAAAAATCAACCTAAACCAAAAAATTTGTTTCTTTGAAAAGATCATCAACAAAATTTACAAACATTTAGTTAGACTGACTTAAAAAAAAAGGGACTCAAATTACCAAATTCAGAAATGAAAGCTGGGACATTACTACTGATGTTACAGAAATTGAAAGAATTATTAAATAGTAATATGAACAACTGTATGCCAAAACATTGTGTAACCTACTGAACTGGACAAATTTCCTAGAAGAACAAAAAATAACAAAACTGACTCAAGGAAAAAAAAGAACAAAAACAGAAAATCAGAACAGCCTTGTAACATGTAAGGAGAGTGAAAAGTAATCAAAACCTCCCAACTAAGAAGTCAAAATCAGATGGCCTCACTGGTAAATTTACTAAACATTCAAAGGAGAATTAACAACAATCCTTCTCAAACTCTTACAAAACACTGAAAAGGAGGAAGACTTCCCACCCATTCTATGAGGCCAATATTTCCCTGATACCAAAGCTAGACAAAGGCACAAGAAACAAAAATCACAGGCCAAATGTCCCTTTGTAAATATAGATGCAAAGATGCTCAACAAATACTAGCAAACTGAATCCAGGAGTATATTAAATGAATTATACATCATGATCAAGTCAGTTTTATCCTAGGAATGCAAGGGCAGTTCTCAGTCAATTTAATAAACCATATTAATGAATAAAGGGAAAAAATAAAACACATGATCATCGCAACTGATGCAGAAAGAGCATTTGACAAAATCAAACGCCCTTTCATGACAAAAATACTCAGCAAACTAGGAATAGAACTTCCTCGACATAATGAAGGCCATATATGGAAAACCCACAGCTAACATATTCAATGGTGAAAGACTGAAAGCTTCTCCCCCTAAGATCAGAAACAAGATAAGGATGCCCCCTAGGGATGCTTCCATTTAATGCAGTACTGGAAGTTCTAGCCAGAGCAATTAAACTAGAAAAAAAAAATTTTTTTAAAGGCATCTAAGCTGGAAAAATAGAAGTATAATTATCTTTGTTTGTAGATGACATGATCTTATATGTAGAAAACTCTATAAAGAATTCACACACACACAATAAAAACCATTATAGCTAATAAACAAATGTATTAAAGTAGCAGGATACAAAATCCACATTCAAAAATCAGTTATAGGGGGAGCGTGTAGCTCATTGGCAGAGTGTGCGCTTAGCATGCATTAGGTCCTGGGTTCAATTCCCAGTACCTCCATTAAAATAAGTAAGTAAGTAAGTAAGTAAGTAAGTAAGTAAATAAATAAATAAATAAATAAATAAACCTAATCACCCCCCCACCAAAATCAGTTATATTTCTATATACTAACACAATCAATCTGAAAAGGAAATAGAGAAAATTCCATTTATAATAGCATTAAATTAAAAAGATTTAAATACTTAAGAATGAATTTAACCAAGAAGGCAAAAGACTTGTACTGAAAACTGCAGAACACTGCTAAAGAAGTTACAGAAGAAATGTAAACAAGGATTCAAATACTTGTATATCAATACTCACAACATTATTCACAACAGTTAAAAGCCAGAAACACAAGTATCCGTGGCTGATGACATCAATGATGAATGAAGAAACAAAATGTGGTATACAAATACAGTAGAACATTATTCCACTATAAAAAGGAATGAAGTTCTGATACATTCTACCAACATGAATGAACCTTGAATACATAATGCTAAATGAAATGAGCCAGACACAAAAGACAAACATTGTATGTTTCCACTTACATGATGTATCTCTGATGTATAAATAATGCAAACATAGAGACAGAAAATAAAATAGTAGTTACTGGAGCTGGGAGGCATGGGAGAATAAGGAATTACTGTTCGATAGTTACAGTTTCTGTTTTGAGTGATTAAAAAAAAGCTTGGGAGATAATGGTGAACATTATACAACATTGTGAACTCAAGAGTGCCAGTGAGTTGTACACTTAAAAATGGTTAAAATAGTAACCTTTCTGGTATGTAATTATACCACAATTTTTTTTTACAAGATGCATACAAACCCTAGAGCACACACGAAATAAATGAGATACTAGCCAACAGTAGAGATAAAGCAGATACTAAAAAGTACTTAATATATCCAAAACAAGTCAGGAAAGACAAAACAGTAAAAAAGAAAAGAGAAACAAGGGAAAAACAGTAAAACGGTAGGATTAAATCCAACCATACCAATAATTACTTTACATGGTATATGGTGAAACCATCAATTAAATGACAGAATATTTGACTGCAGACCCAACTATACAGGGCATCTGCAAAAGACTCAAGAGCAGTTGCCTTGGGTTCAAGGAGAGAAAGGAGTAGTTTATACCCAAACAGTGATGGCAATGTGAGGGGGCCAAAGAAAGTGAGACTTTAAATAAGAGGCTTTTTAATCACTGATAGCCAAGATTTACTTTATTTCATTCCTATGAAAACCAGAAAATGTTGCATGAAGACTACACACAACACTATCTGTTCCCTATGGCTTCAATCTAGTTTAAAACTTTGATTTTCAACCTATATTCTTACAGTCAATGCTCTTTTAACATGCCCCATAACCAACTTGTCAAAACTCATGCTACACATTCCCAAATAAAACATAATGACTAATGCAGAGTGATACTAGAACACTCCCAATCAGCACTTCTGTTCCCAGAAGTTGAGCTGAAGGCTTGCACAAGTTTTATTTGTTCTTAAACCTACTGACACCAGCTGAACTTATTGTAAGTTAATGAAATTACTTTTTAAACCAATAGAATGAATGAAAAAAAAAGTTTCTAAAAATTAAATTACTATTTTCTATTTCCTTAGCTTCTTTCCCAGGAGATGCACAAAATTCACTCTTTAACTTCATTCCAATCTCTACTAAAAAAAATGCTTCTTTTCAAGGCCTTTCCTGTCCATCAAATATGAAGGAATATTCTCTGTATTCTCTATCCTATAACCATACTTCACCTTTTTTCAGAACATTCAGTCTGATACTGTATCTTTGTTGTCTACTTTTACCGTTAGGTTATAAACTCTATGAAAGCAGGGAATTTGTCTCAATTATTTTGGATCCCTAGCAGTTAGAAGAGGGCAAGTCATACAGTAGGTGCTCAATAAACACTTAGACGATTAAGAACGATTCCTTCAAGATAATCTGATTAAAAGGAGTTGCACTCCTTTAAATCTGCGTTGCACTCAGAATGCAAGTTTTTTGATAAGCTACCAATCCAAGTAGTATCAAATAAATGTTTCCCTATCTGGCAAATGAACTCTTCCCTAAATGCAAACTCTGACAAAGCCTTATTTCCCACCATTTCACATACACCTCCTTCATTACAACCAAACAGGGATACCAAGTCTCCTCTGAGCACCCCCTACTGAGTTCAGTGTAATCTGCTAAAGATCACACTTAAGAGGGAGTACTAGGCTTTATGCTGCATGAATTTCCAATTTTTAACACGTCTGACACGCCATTATTAAAGAGCCCCAGTAAAACTCAAGCCTATTACAGGGTGAAAGAGAAAACATGAAATCCATTTCCAAAGGCTCATGTCAAAGAAAATCAAACAATTACTATACATTATTAATAATGAGAACAATCATAACAACAAGCTGGCCGAACAGTATTTACAACAGGGCTTGACTGTGGGCTCAAATGATCCCCACTGCTTGGAATGTTCTCCTCTCCCACTGCCACCCATCAAATCCTTCATCTTTCTTCAAGGTTCAGTTCAGTGCCATCTCTTCATTACATTCTTCAGTTCATTCTTATCCAGACTGTTTGCTGCAACTGGTAGGAGGTCTCTCTCTCTCTCTCCTTTAATCCCCACAGAATCTTTAATTCAACATCCCTTAAGGAACTGTACACAAATAACACACAGCAACAGAATATGGTATACATATATTCTTCTCTGTTACAAGTCCTAGAGGGTAAAAATTGTAACTTATTCATCTTTACATTCACTAAAGTACCTTAGAAAATGTGTTGCAGATTTGCTAAGTATTTATTAAACTCTTAAATTTACGTTCTTCCATATCACAAAGGCATCAAACTAACTGAAACTTAATGCTGAAGTTATATTGTTCCAACACTCTGAAGTAGGAAAGATCTTGGTTAACTCTTTTGGTTAAATGAATCAGTTGAAAGGAATGACTTAGATTCAAAATTTTATACTCTATTTGAGAATGAGAACATGTCCATTTCCTAATACTCTGCAAGTGATTACTTACCTGAGACCATGGTCTGTGATCTGATAACATCCAGACAGACTGAGAAACAAAAGTACACGTCCAGTCTCTTGATCAGATTTTTCACTCCCAGAGTAAATTAAGTCTGTTTCCCTAAGCAATCTCGTCCTTGATGCTTTTCTACACAATGCAGAAGACTCTGGGAGTGCTGACATAGTTCTTAAAGCTGTTCCTGTGCAACAAAATGAATGACCACAATACGCAAAGGCCGGTGAAGCACAATGCTGCTGCCAGCAGACGCTAGTCCTTAGTCCAACAATGTCCTTGCTGTAACAACCCGAAGAGGAACAACTAAAGTTGGATGCCGTTTCCATTACACAAAGACTTTCAACATTTCTGTGTCTCCACTCTACAGCATCTTCAATATCAGCCAAATCTTCAGCATCTAACATCCACACATATGGAGAAGTGAAACTTTCAGAAGAAACAGGCTTAGTCCAGGGATGTTCATTATCTATTTCTTCTCCAATGCCCTTGGTGGTCAAATCGTGCAAACAAGCATACTGGTTGGTGGACTGCATGGTAATGTCTTTATTTTTCCATGTAGTCGAAGTAATTTTGCCTGTAGAAGTTTTCAAAAGGCCACTCTGATGAGATGTCAGAATTCCAAGAGCTCTAGAAATCTTTTCTAGAGCCACATCTGTGATTTTTTCACATCCAGATAGATCAAGATGCCGAAGACTCTGGCAGCAACCAAGCCAAGACCAACTATAATTCAGAGGTAACAAGACTATTAGTGGATATTGTTAAAATCTTCAAAAGCATCTGATTACATGTAAGTAGATGGAAACTACAAGAAAGATTTTTAAATCTAATATAATTAAACATTGACTGAATATCTATTGTCAGGCACTATTTTACATGTTAGGGATATGAAAAGACAGTAAGAGTAATTAGGAACTAAGAGTATCGCTAACCTAATGGAAGGGTAGGAGAGGAGAAGGGTATGGAAGGGAGAGACTGCTTATCATCCTGAAAAGTAACCAGTAGAGGAAAGGCCGTACACACATGAAAGAAAGTATATAATAATTAGTGGAGTAAGATCCAGAAGAAATAAGCTCTTAGGAATTGGGAGAGAATTAGCCTTAGCCAGAGATGAGTACATCACTCCTGCTGCAACAGGAAGAGGTGGGAAAGAGCAAGGTAAGGTACAGTAAGAAGTAGCAGCATCCAAGGAAACAAAGTTGTGAAGAGTGTAGCTTAAAGAAAGTGTTAGAATTTCAGACTAACTATGAACAGTTTAAGAGGGAACTTTGCCAAATGGTACTGAGAGCCTAACTGCGCCAATCTACATGGCTGCACAGCAAGGCTTAAAAGCCTAGGCAGACTATACATAAAAATAGATTAAAAAAATTTCTTCTGCATAGCACAGGGAACTATATTCAGTATCTTGTAATAACCTTTAATGAAAAGAATATGAAAACGAAATATATGTATGTATATTCATGACTGGGACATTACGCTGTACACCAGAAATTGACACATTGTAACTGACTATAT